TGTCCATTGCCTTTGTTCTTCTATTCTCTTATATGTTTCTTCTTCACGTGTTTTGAGCTGTACTTTCATTATTATTGTCATTTCATTTTTTGCCTGAGAGATTATTTCTGATCTCATCTCTTCTATGGCCTTATGGAGTTGTTTGGTTATTTCCATTGCAATAGTTTCAGCTATTTCAGGCATGTGTTTACCAAGTTCTCCTATGTCGATGTCTCCTGGACTTGTTCTGAGTGGGGTGGAGTTCTGGGATTGTGTTTTAGTTCTTTGTTTTGTCATGTTTGATACCAGATGCAGAAAGCCCAGTTTCCTCTTCAGTGGCTATGCAGCAAAGGCTGCTAGTGTCCCTAGTTTTCATGTTGGTCAGATTTGCCCCTCACTGTCCACTGAGAAGCTCTACTTAGTCTGGAGTTTTCCGACAGTTGTTGATTTGTATCTAGTTATCCCAGGTCTCAGACCCAGGCATCAGTGTCAGCTGATGGCAGACCATCCAATCCAGCATCCCCTTGCATTTCAGGACAGGTACACAGCCCATACTCAGGTTGCACTGGTGTGACAATCCCAGTCCAGTGGACCTATGTCCCCAAGAAGTTCAGGGTACAGGCAAAACCTGGACACAAACTTCAGGGTCAACAGTTTGTGAACCACCTGATTCTATGTCTTCAGTCTGTTCAGGACTCATGTAGGAACCAGTTGTGGGCTAGACCAACAGCAATCACAGACTGCCTGTGCCTGTGACCCCCACAGGGGGCCTGGGTGCAGGTAAAGCATGGACTTGAACCACAGGACTAGCAGCTCTTGGAGAGCTCGCTCACTCGGCGCAGGGCTTGCCCAGGGAGGGCTCACACGAATGGTGAGAGCAGTCCCTGGGCCTTCTGAGTGAGGACCTCCTGTCTGCCATGGGTGCATGGACAGCAGAGACTCACACTGTAATGGTGGCAGGGTCCTAATAACTTCTTTTTAGAGAAAAAAATCAAATATTTTTCTTATATCAATTTTTAGTAGCATTTGACACTATAAATGACCTTCACATTTCAAGTTTTGTCTTCTTTTGTCTTCTGTGACACTGTCCTCTGTGTACCTATACTTTCTTCAATCCCTTATCTCCATCTCTCTCTGTCTCTCTCCCTCTCTGTCTCTGTCTCTCTCTCTCCCATCTGCCACCAAAATCACATTTGTTGGAAATATTTCTTTGATTCATACCCCTGATTGCATTTTGTATCATTCACATCATTTCTTACAGTAGCCTCTGAGGTTTTTACTTTCTTGGCTTTGATTACTATATACATTACCAAGTTTTTAGAAGAGAAGTGACATACAATTGTGGTAAAGATAAGTGATACTACAGTCAGATAGCCTTGAGTTCAAATCACAGCTCCACCTCTTGGTAGCTGTGTGAACTTCTGTAAAATATTCCACTTCAGTGAATCTCAAGTTAATCATTTGGAGAACTAATAACATATGTCAATTTGATAACACCATTATATTAATTTTTTGCTATATATAAATTTCTTAGTCCCAGATCTGTAACATTTAATTACTGGATGAGTGAAATCAATTGTTATTAACTATTAAATGCCTGGCTCTAGCTCAGCCATTGTTTTTAAACTCCAATACTCTGTATTTGAAGTCTAATTGAAATCTGTTAGAATTCTTCAATCAACATAAACTCAATATGCACCTAAATGTACTTATTTTCTTCTCTGATAAACCTGTTACTTCATTCTATTCTCTCTTTCAGTTACTGGTGGCAGACACGACCTGTTTGATCAAGCCAGACCAGCACCTTTTGCTAGAGTTTTTCTGTTGTTTACATGTAATCAGGCACATTTTCTTGTCTCTTCTCTTGTATGAATGTTTTCTGTCAACAATTCATATATTTAAAAATATTGCTTGAATTCATATATTCCAGCATTCTTGGATATATGGAGGATATATGACAGATATATTTACTGCTTGGACTCAAGTAGAAAATAAAAATCAAGTGATAGCATAAAGAAATGAACAATTACATCCACATTCTTCAAGTCTCAGTGAATGATGTATTGAAGCTACCTTTACCTCCCCTCTTATTTCCTCTTGCCTTCCCTAATCCTCTCCTTTCCCTCATTTCTGCAACAGGTAGGTAATTCTTACCAAATAATCTTTCTAAAACTGAAATATAATTATGTCACTTCCCTGCTTACATTCTTTCCCCTGGCCTGTAGGAAAATATTAAATTGTTTAACATGATTTTACAAGGTTCAGTGTGATCAGGTTTCTCATTACCACCTCAGTCTCATCATTTTTACACTCTTAACCCCCTTGATAATTTAATCATTACAGAATTATCTTAGTTATTGGAAAATACTACATCATCTCTTGGCCAGTGAACATTGAATGAGGTGTCCCCTCCCTCAATATGCTTTTGCTCCAAGTTCTGTCATTATTGATCACGTTCTCTTTGTACCCCATACTGAAGCTTATCTCAACCATAACTGACGTATATTCATCCTTCAGATTTCAAACTTGGGCTTATATTGGTGCATATGCTCTTAAAATTTTTAATGATAAACAAAAACATAATATTTGCACTTATGTATGAGGTATAATGTGATGTTTCAATACATGTATACTTTGCATAATGATTAAATCAGGTTAAACATATCTATGTCCACAAACATCATTTCCTTATTGTTAAAATATTCAAAATCATTTCCCCTAGCATTTTAAAATATATAGTAAATTATCATTATTTATACTTACCACACTGTACAATTTAATAAGGCTTCTTACTTTCTAGTGCTCATTGACCAAACTCTCTCTCCTCTCTGGCAACATTCATTCTACTTTATTTGCTGTCCAAAAACACATATTACTTTGACACAGACTACTCTTGAAATGGCTCATGTACTGGAGATTCAATTCAAGATTAGCTAGCACCACTGATTGGGTTTTGACCAGAAGCAGCACTAACATCAAGGCAGGATAGCACATTCAAGGATCTGCTCACATTTCCAGGCAGAAATCAAAGACAGCCCTTTGATGACATATCCACAGTGACCTCAAGACCTCTTGCTAGGTCTCACTTATCAAAAGATAGTGTGAATAGTGTATGGAAGAGCTTATACTTAGCCCTTAGTTGTGCTAAACTCTGTTCTAAGTGTCTTACATACATTTATCATTTAATGCTCACCATTTAGTAGGATATATCAGCAGCTACTATACAAGATCCTATTGTGGGGAAAACTAGTCACAGAAAGATAAAAGAATTTGCCTAAATCATATAATGAAGTATCAACAGAAGCCAGAATTTGAATGTAGATAATATGATTCCTGTTAAGTACTGGACAATACTATCATTGCAATTGAACTACATTGTAAGTAGGCAGTGAATTCCAAGAGAAAGCCCACCATATCCCTATAGTATCACAGAGTGGAGACAAAATGACACGTGGACTAGAAACATCATTCAATTTGCCTCATATCTCAATAGACAGCCTTCATAGTTTTTCTAAATCTCTTTCACTATTTTCATCTCAAATATTCAAAAATATTCTATTTACCTGAAGTACATTCTTATTTTGTACATTAAGGTAACTAGTGAATGAGAAGACAAAATAGATAAGCTTTCAGCCTTCATTACTTCTAGAAATATGAAAGATAAACAAGCCCCTCAGGTTGTATTATTACTTCACAAAGTTAATTAACTTGTAAAAAAGATAATAAATTCTCACAAATATAAAGAGCATAGCACCATGTTTCATTGAATTAGTTATGTTGTCTAAGCATCAATAACTCAATTTGTAGTTAATCACATGCTTCAGCTTTTGTTTATTTTGAAAATGCTTGCATATATTCCTAATTTCAATAAGGAACTAAAATGCATTTTGACATTTTATGCAATTATTATCATCTTCATCTACTACATGAACTAAATATGTTCATGGATGTATCTAAAATATGTAACTGAGAACAGAATAAGAACACATAAGAAAAAAGAGTTACGTGTTTTGTGTAACAATATCTGATGCACTGTCTCTCAGACAAATGAAGCTGAAGACAGATGAATAGTTGATATTTTCAAGAAGTGAATCTTTGTGATAAAAAAATGCTTGCATAAGTGCTCTTTACAAAGCATCATTTTCCTCTCACACTCCCCAGTGAAACTATTTAAAGTGTGTGCAATGACTATTGCATCCATTCTTCCTACCCATTTTATCACTAACCCTGACATTCTAATTTACAGCTAAACAGTTGACATTTCTCTAAAGGAACTAGTGATTCCTTATGAGTTTATCTACTAGTCTTTAACTGATTTTTTCCTAGTATTTTCTGTTCTAGACTAAACTATCAACTATATTCTCAAAAAAATTTTTTGCTCCTTCAACTTCCATGAAAATTGTTTTCTCTTATATTTCTTCTACCCTCCTTTTCTATCTCCTTGGTTATTACCTTTTTTCTCTGCTGAGAAATGAAATCTAGGCATACTAAAGTTGGCAACGTGACTTCAAGTTTCTAATTCTACATATACCCACCCCGAATTATAATTCCTCCATTCCAATGGCATTATTGGTCACTGATTTCCTTTTGACTCTGGTTTGTAGTTTCTCACTACTTGGTTCTAGGTTATCATGTGCCCATGGTAATTTCTTCTTAACTATCATCATCAGAAACTCAGTATAAACCTAACAATTTTAAAATATACTTTTTACTATAAAAAGTGTATACATAGCCCAAGTACCAAGACTGTAGTGCATATCTTAGTGATATTTTATGAACTGAACATGAGGATCACTGGAACTCACAAATCAAAAAAATAATGCATAAGCAGCATACAGAATGTCCTTGCTTTGCTCACTATTAGTTAGTGTCCTTTGCAAAATAATGACTATCAAGACTTATAAAAAACAGTGTAGGGAATTCGCTGGTCTCTCGGTGTACCCCAGGTAGGATCAGCAGTGGCTATGAGGAAAATAAAAACAAGAGACAAAAGCTGGGGTCAGGTGGGGTAACCTCCTTACCTTGGAGGGCAGAGGACTGAACAACAACAGCAGGGATGTTAATTTACACCCTTGCAAAGTTAGTATGATGACAGACAAGATTGCCAAGCATCTAATGACTCAGTTGTCCCTGAAGGATGCTTTTCTTAAGACTGATGTAGGTTGCCTGCTTGAGGCGTTTTGGCTCTGTCTGCCCTCACACATATGGCCACTTTCCCGGTCCAGCCGCTCCTGACAAAGAAGAGTTTGGCCTGTGTTAGTATTTAACTAGAATCATAAAGCATATGTGCTCATGCTATTACTTTTTTTTCACTTGTCATTATGTTTGAGATGTCTGTATGATGTCGAGTATAGTAGCATTTTAATGCTACTATTATTACAAATTATAAGTAATATTCTGTTACATAAATATAATTACTTTTTAAATTCAAATTATAGTGGATGGACATTTGAATAGTTCCTGGTTTGGAATTACTATATGAGTGCTGATGTAAACATTCTTGTTCTTTTTTAGTAAACAATATTTTTGTCATTTTACACGGTGCTTATTGAAACTACTGAGGATACATATATATATATATCTTTAATCTTGCCAAAATTGGATCATTATCTTACACTATATGAGAAAGTCAATTTAAAGTGGATCAAAGACCTTAGCATAAAATCTGAAATTCCTAGAAAAACATAGGTGAAATTTTTTATGACATTGCTTTTGACAATGATTTTATTAAAATTACACCAAAATCATAGGCAAAAAAGCAAAAATAAACAAAGAAACTACATCTAACTAAAAAGCTAGAAAATAGCAATGGAAATAATCAAAATGAAAGTAAATGTGTTAATTGGAGGAAAACATTAGCAAACTGTATATCCGATGAGTATTTAATGTCAAAGGATATAAGTAACTCCCAAAATTTAATATTTAAAAAAACAAAATAACTCAATCAAAAAAGAATAAACACTTTCCCAAAGATATACAAATGGCCAAGAGTATATGAAATATAGTCAAAAATCACTACTTATCACAGAAGTATAAGTCAAAACTCAATAATTTTGTGAAAATTAGCAAAATTATAGACTAGGAGGTACCATTCTTGCAACTTTATAGAAACAATGATTTAACAACTACCTGCCAGAGAAACAGCTCTAAGAGAGCTCCAGTGTACAAGTGGGATTGCATTTGAAAAAAAACTATTGCAGATCAAAGAAATAATTGGCAGAATAAAAAAGTAACCCCTGTAATATGAGAAAATATTTGTAATTTGACAAAAATTATGTAATCTCTTTTGCTAATATCCAAATCATAGTAGGAATCCCTGAAATTTAAAAACAGAAAAGCAAATTATCTGATTGAAAGATAGGCAAAGGACTTGAGTAGATATTTTGCAAAAGAAACCATACAAATGGATGTAAGCAAATGAGAAGACTCTCACCACCCTCATCCTCAAGAAGATGGAAATGTAGATTATAATGGGACACCACCTTATCTGTCATGATGGTTATTATAAAAGAGATAATTCTGACAACTCTACAGTAGTGATATCAGAGAAAAGAAACAGCATTAGCAAAACACACACACACACACACACACACACACACACACACCCTTGACACAAAGTGATTGCTGTGATTCAGGTAAGTAATAAAGAAAATTTGAAGAAGTGCACAGATTTAAGCAACATTTTAGAAGCAGAATTTACTGAACTTGTTGGCAAATTACATAGAGAGTGATGATTTGTCATTAGGAAGAAGTGTTAAATAAATTTAAAGGTTTCCATATTAGAGCATGGTGAGTAGAATTACGAAGATAAAACCATTTGATTGTAAACATACTGAGTTCGAGTTGACTACGAGACTTAAATTTAGAAAATGAAACTACATCTCCAGAGTTGAGGCATCACATGTACAACAAAGAATGTCAGATGGAAGACATCAATATATATGCAAGAATGAAATGCTGGTTACCAATGAAATGACTACAGAAGGAGCATAAAATATGAAGAAAGATGACTGAATTCCAAACTGAGTTGAACATTTTACATTTAGATGTGTAAATGATTTTGAGTTAATTTTTGTGAAAACCACAAGATCTCTTTCTAGATTCATTTTTAAAGTTTTGCATCTGAATATCCTGTTATTCCAGCATAATTTGATAACTACCATTGCTCCACTGTATTGCCTTTGCTCCCTAGTCAAAGATCAATTGACTGTATTTGTGGGCATCTATTTATTGGCTACTGGCTCTGCTCTAATTTATGTATTTCTCTATTTTGTCATCAGCCACACTGTCTTGAGTGGTGTAGCTTTATAGTAAGACTTTACATTCACCAGCTTTACTCCCTCCTTTGTTCTTCTCCTTCAATACTATGTTGGCTTTTCCAGATCTGTGTCCTTTCTGTGTAATCACTGGGATGTAATCAGTTTATTAGCAACCTTAAAATAATTCGTTGAGATTTCATTTCCATGGCATCTCTGCAAATGAGTTTTAAAAGAACTGATATGATGGCAATAGCACTGCATGTTGTAATACTGCATTATTTCAAATGTCATTTCAAAATTTACCCACTTTGTAAACTGCAGGGCACCAGATAATAAAAAATCTAATATTATAGTTTAACATAGAGTCATGTTTTAAATTTACCATTCAAATAAGTTGGACTTGGAGCATATCACGTAACCTCTTTGCACCTCTGCTTTCTCATCAATAAATATTTGTGACAGGAAACACTAACTAATGCCTTGGTTTGTGATTTCCCTTCACACTCTTTCATTCTGCAGTTTAATCGACTGTTTTTGCTCTTCATACTACCTCAGAGAAGAAATGTGACACCCATGAAAAGACATAACACAAAGAATCTGCCCATTTTTAATTTATGTTTTCCACATAGTAAATCATTAAAAATGTCTGGAATGCAAAATGTGGGAATTGAATATAGTGCTTAACCAACAATATTATGGAAACTTGATTTCCCAGGGCAAATTCAATGGTGCAGGGGAGGGAGAAAATATGCAGAGAGATCAACAAGTGGGAGAAGAGAGATGGAGACACAGAGAGACAGACACACACAGAGACATAGAGACAGACAGAGATAGCAGAGAAATGCTAATTAAAACAACTAAAAGGTACAGGCAGATAACTCTGTCTGCTCACAAGCAACTAAAATGTGATGCTAAACCATCTGAACTCTTCTCTACAAAATAAATCTTAAGAAAATGACAAAAATTGCTTGAAAGAGAATGAATTCATGTCATCATTATCAGAGAAAAAAGGTCTAGTTGCAGACACAACTATGAGAACTTCCTAAGTAAACGTTTCTCCAGTATGACAGGAGCAGAGTTCTTAGTATTTTTTATACCTAGGACTCTTTATCTTTATTCTGTTAGCTTCCATGTATCTTAACAATAAATTATTGTCATGGTTTGGGGCTTTTGCAAAGCACAATATAATACAGGACACGTATTTTATAAGATTATTTATAATAGTCACCCAAAGAATTATATACAAAAGAGTGTTTCACAGATCTGTACTGGGAAGGCCCAAAGGTCAGTGGTATAATCTAGAAAGTCTGTGCCAGAGAGATGAAGGATCTCTCTAGCTGGCTGAGATATCTACACTGGAGCCAGGAAGCAATGCTCAAAGTGAAAAACAATACTCATAGTGTGGTACCCTGAAAAGTACCACAGCCATCCTCAGCAACAGTGAGGTCCCAACCTCCTCTGATGATGAGGAAAGCTGAGTTCCCATCAGGAAAGCCAACATGACAAGCTACTCCAGGAGACTGAGCAGTGCACCATCTTTCCTTCTGAAGCCAAGAAGCAATGCTCAAAGTGCAGACTAGAGCTCCCCCAAAGTGAACCATAGCCATTCTCAGTGACAAGGTCCTGAGCTCCTCTTCTGATAACAGCCAAGCTCATCAGGAAAGCCAGCATGACAAGATCGTCCAGCAGAATAGACCAAGAGAACCAGCATCTCCCTAACAGCTTCTTAGAGAAAAGGGATGAATCAAGGAGGTATTATCTATCTTAAGTGATGTAAATGTTAATGAAAATCTATAATCAATAATTAAAAAGTCTTATTTGTTATGAAAACTATTAACTAAATAATCACTTTGATTTACCAAAAGCCTAGACTATCGGGCTGTACTGGTAGCAAGAGGAAGAATATGTTATTGGTTGAATTAAATACAAAGATCGGTTGAAGTCCATACCCGAAGTACCTCATAACGGGGACTTCTGGAAATAGGGTCAATGCCTAAGGAACTAGTGAATTAAATGAAGTCATACTGCCTTAGGGCGAGCCCCTAGTTGGCATCATGGCATCATGTGAAGGAAGAATTCCACAGAGGAATAATGCATGTGACAATGATGTGGCATTATGATTCATATTTAAAATGACCCCCAAAATTCTCATGTGTTCAGAGGTGGGTCTTTCAGAATTATAGGGGTCCTATACTCAGTGAGTTAACCCACTGCTGAGTGCATGGTGGAATGTGTGGCTACAGGGTGAGGCCTGGTTGGCCAGAATGGGTTATTAAAGTCTTGCCTTTGGAGTCCCTCTGCCTCTCTCTGTCTCTGCCCCCCCCACACACACACTGTTTGCTGTGGATTGCGTAGCTTTCCTCCACTAGGCCCTCTGTTATGCCATTTCTGCCTTCGAGCCAAGCAGCCACGGACTGAAACCTCTGAAATTGTGAGCCAGAACAAACCTTTCTCTTTTATGTGTGTCAGATACGTTGTCAAAATAATGGAAATGGTGACAAATAAAGATGGTGACAGATTATTTTGTGCTGCATGTCAGAGGATACTGAAGATTACCAGTAACTCACAAGATGCTACAAACAAGCAAAACAAGTTTCTTACAGATTTCACCAAGGAGTATTTCCTTTCAGTGCTTTGATTTTGGCCTTTTAACCTCCAGAACTATAGTACAATAAATTTGTGTTGTTTTTAAGCTACTTTGGCTTTGTGATGCTCTGCTATGGCAGCCTGAGGAAAATATGTAGACCTTCTTTTAAATGAAAAATGCAAGTGCCATGGAGCATTGCAACTGCTCCTTAATGCTGTGTGACAGATTAAAAAGAGTACTGAATGGAATTGCTAAGTTTTAAGTTTAAGTGATGGGCTTAAATCTAAAGAACTTCTATGATATGTTAAAACACCTATTCTCACCTCTAGGTGCAGACAGGTAGCTGAAAAGCAAAGGCAGAGATTAATCTCAGAAGTTGCTGATT